TGAGTACGAACCACAACAACTGGTGTCGCGGTCATTTTGAACCAATGGAGTCCTGTAATTCGGAGAACTTGAATATACATGCCAGTGCTCGCGAAGTCGAAGACTATCTTGAACAGTTCGAGATTTTGTGTATTACACGGAAGGACTCGATGAAGAACGAGAAACGGCTAATTTCCTAACGGTCATCGGAAAGGATGCATACTCATTGTCGAAAAATTTGGCATTTCCTGACTCTCCTATATCGTTTTCGTATGAATCCCTGAAAAACTTGCTGCGGAAGCATCTACAGCCGGCCAATTTCGAAGCTGCTGAGAGAGCCAAATTTTATTCACTCACCCGTGGTGGAAGCCAACCTGTACGTGACTTTATTCTTCAGCTTCAGAATCGAGCATCTCGTTGCAACTTCGGAGATCAATTGCAAATCCAGCTACGTGATCGATTAATTGCCGGTATTAATTGCCCAGAATTACAGCAAAAGCCCCTGCTCATGCACGATTGCACATTTTGATTGGCTACGGCGGTCTGTGAACAGTACCAAGACGTCCGTGCCGTTATTTGTGATGAATCCAACTTGTTGTTCAATGCCAGTGATTCCAAACCGTCACGATCCCGACGAAAACGGTTTTCCGAAAAGGGCTCGGAAACACCGAGCAACATCAGTTCTCCGGCCCGCAATGACCAATGGATTCAAAGACGGAACAAATGCAATTCCTGTGGTCAAAGACATTCGCGACTATCCTGTAGATTTCTTAATGCCAAGTGTCACAATTGCGGTAAGCTTGGCCATAGCCAATCTGTCTGTAAAAGTACGAAGTCGTGTCTTACAAAACGTGCGACTGTCCATTCCTCTAAAGATTTATTGTGTGATTTACAGTCCTTAACTCTAGCCAGTACCAGTTCACGTCCATCTCGCCATATTACTCGCGACTCCATCATTAATGACTCCATTCACCATACATTCATTATGGACACCGGCAGTGTGGATTCTTTCATTTCCAAAAAGGTATTTCGTCATTTAAACCCCCCAGTTGCACTTTACCCAACAGACATTTCAGTTAAGGGAATTACCGGTCATTCTTTGCCCGTCTTAGAATCATGCGAACTGCCTCTTAAAGACGATAAATCGCAAACATTTCACTGCCCGTTTTTGGTCATTGATTCCGACATTTCGATAATTGGCTTGAATTGTATGAATCGTATGCATCTGTCATTTTCATTCATGTCTGACTCCCAACAATCACGCCTTTGTCACTTAGTACTTGAATGTTCCAATGCAAAGGGTGGTATCAAAATGACTCCTGTGAGTCTCGAAGTGACCGGTCCATCAGTGTTAATGAAACGTCGGATTATCCCACTTGGACTTCGTGATCCCGTAGAAAAGGCGTTAGGTGAAATGGTAAGCAAAGTAGTTCTGACACCCGTAAACTCTTCGTCTTGGGCCACGCCAATTGTTACTCTACTAAAACGTGACGGGAAGACTCCTAGGATATGTGAAGATTATCGAGTCACTGTGAACAGATACCTGAAACAGTCCAGTTATGCCATCGTCGAACCAGAAGACATTCTGCACCAACTTCATGGATCCAAATTTTTCTCTAGTCTAGACTTCAAAGATGCATTTCTTCAAATTCCTCTTGATGAAAAGTCCCGTGAACTCACGACTATTAACACACCTTTTGGTTTATTTCGCTAGAATTTTCTACCGTTCGGACTCAGTGTTTCCCCTGCTATTTTTCAGACCACCAATAATTCCATCATTTCTGACTTACAAGCTGTATGTGCCTATCAGGAGGATATGATTGTTCATGCGCCTAGCAGACACTTACATGACGAACGTTTGAGTGCTTTGCTTGAGAGA